CGGCCCCACCTTTGGTGGCCTCGGTTCTGTTCTCTCCTTTTGAAAATTCAGGGAATTATTGTGATTGTTGTATCTTTCTTTCTTTTTTCCTTTTTCTAGGATATGCGGTTTAAATGCGGAATTTTTAAACAGATTTGTTGAATAAACCAATACTAAACTGGGAATCCAGTGGCAGAGATAGTCTGCCTTACTTTTGCAGACAGTTCCTGACTTAAGATGGTTTGATTTATGATTTTTTGACTTGACTTTATGATGGTGCGGAAGCAGTATGCATGTGGTAGAAACTGTGCTTTGAGTACCCATACAGCCATTCTGTTTTCATTCTGCACAGTGTTCAATAAATTAAAGAGATGGTTAACACTTTTTATTATAAAATAGGCTTTATGTTAGGTGATTTTGCCCAACTAGCTAGTGTATGAGTGTTCTGATCACATTTAAGGTAGGCTAGGCTATATTATGATGTTCAGTGTATTAAATGCATTTTTGATTTACCGTATTTTCAATTTATGATGCGTTTATCAGGATGGATTTATCAAATTTGCAGTTGAAAAGTTGAAAGAGTAGATTAACATATCCAAGTTGTTCCAAACATACTTAAACATTTTTTAGTAGCTAAATTGAGTATCAGGTTTTAAATTAATCATTAAATTGGTCATTATGGAAATACAGTACAAAACCACAAGATAGCACTTCAAACTCACCAGGATGGTTTTAATCAAAAAATGGAAAATAGCAAGTATTGGCGAGAATATGGAGCTGGTGGTTATACAACATTGTGAATACACTTAATTCCACCGAATTGTACATTTTAAAATGGTTAATTGTATGTTATGTGAATTTCACCTAATAATAACAAATTAAATAAAGTTAGAAATTTAGTTTCTCAGTTATAGTAGCCAGAGTTAGTGTTCAATAGCAGTATTTGGCTAGTGGCTCCTGTTGTGGAAAATGTAGTTCAGTGGCAATGTGGTAATCTACGGATTACCACAGGCAACTATTTTTTTTTTTTTTTTTTAAAGATGACCGGTAAGGGGATCTTAACCCTTGACTTGGTGTTGTCAGCACCACGCCCAGCCAGTGAGCGAACCGGCCATCCCTACATGGGATCCGAACCCGGGGCCTTGGTGTTATCAGCACCGCACTCTCCCGAGTGAGCCACCGGGCCGTCCCCACCACAGGCAACTTTAAAAAGTTATTCTTTCTTGGTACTCAAAATATATGTAGTAAGTTCTTAAATTCTAAGAATGTAGTAACCATTAGATGCTAAACTTCTCATGGTCAGAATATGTAGCTGAACATTCTTGATGCAGGCTGTTTGAGGACCATTCACAGGACTGTTGTAAGAATTAAATGAAATACTAATTTCAGAGCAGTGATATGGCAAATTGCCTCTTCTGCATTCCCATAGTGCCCTGTACCTTAGTTAGCCCTTATTATGTTGCTTTGAAGTTATTGCTTTATATGCATGTCTTGCTGAACACAGAACCTCTTTCAGCATAGGATCTATATCTTTATTCATCCTTTACACTTCTAGCATCTTACGTAATACTTGACACAGATAAGTATTTGAACTAAAATCTTGAACCATTCCTCCTCCTCTTAACTTAGTGTTCACCCTAGAGTGAGTAAAGATTTTTAATAGCAATTTTAGAAGCAAAATAAATAGAATACTTGGTAATGGTACTATGTAAGGAGCTTGATGTGAAACGTTTTAGCTGAGCATTGATTTTATCAGAATCTATAAGCATATAGCTATTTAGTTTTGCCAATATATTTAGAAATACTATAGCTGTGATTTGCATGATGCTTCTGGAAATGTATCCATAAATGTACGTTTATGTTTTCAAAATGCATGGAAAGTATGAGTTGGGATAAGTAGATATGCAGGGAAGGTGTGAGGACAGCCTCAAAGGAGGATTTGCTTTTGTCCACTTAAGGCAGATTTAGACTTCGTGAAGAAAATTATGATTTCTACTAATAGAGGATTGTGTTGTGTTTTTAGAAGTTTAAAATGGTACATGTACTTGGATTGAAAGAGCCTGGAAATGTGCAGATTTTTTTGTGGTATTATCTAGGTAAACTGTAACACAAGGTGAACCACCTGGGAATAATGTAATGGATGTATTTGCTTTTACATATGACAGATTTGTATGCTTTGAGTTTGTTTGTCAAGACAGAAACTAAGTAAATTGAATAATAAATTAATAATAGAAAAGTCATTATCAATCCATCTGTGGATTTTGTTGTTTGGGGATCATTTTGGAAAATGGTTTGTTTTAATTACTAAGATTCATTTGTTAGAAGACCTGAAAAAATTATTTTCTAAGATCTAACTAGAAATCACACACTCGTACTGTAGCTAATTTGTGTATTGTAATTCTGGTGATGCTGTATCTGAACATTGCGCAGTCATTGTTGGAATGGCAGATCTGCCAGGTGACTTGGGTAGTCGTTAACCCTTTGATTTCTCAATCTTTCAAGTACAGAAGGCTAAAGAGGCAGTATTTAATGGAACTTAAAGAGCACTGCATAAGACCGACACTGAGCATGTCTTCACCACAGAGAGGCTAGATCTATAAGTTAACAAATTTTTTTTTTAAAAGATGACCGGTAAGGGGATCTTAACCCTTGACTTGGTGTTGTCAGCACCACGCTCACCCAGTGAGCAAACCGGCCATCCCTATATGGGATCCGAACCCGTGGCCTTGGTGTTATCAGCACCACACTCTCCCGAGTGAGCCAAAGGCCGGCCCCTAAGTTAACAAATTTTTAAGAAAATTATTTAAAAGTCAATATTGAACTTCTTTCGTAGTTATTATAACAGCATAGAACAGAGAGGTTGCTGAAGGTTTTAGAGTGGCATATATCTTTTTTTTTTTTTTTTTAATTTTATTTTGTCGATATACAATGAGGTTGATTATTGTGGCCCATTACCGAAACCCCC